GGGGCGCGACCTGGCGGGGCCCTGCGCCTGGCCGGGGGTTCGAGGCTCGCTGTCTCCGAGTCGCAGGCGGCGATTGTCCGGGGCGCCGTCCGCAGGCGTGCCAGCCCCAGCTCGCGTTCTGTTGATATTGTGTGCACCATCTTGGGGACTTCCTGCGGGAGGGCAGGTCGCAGCGTACCTGCCACTCAGAATGCAAAGCCAGAAGCAACTTTGCGTCTAGGCACGACCTCGCAGCCGGACCCGAGTGCTGGGTCCCGGAGCCCGCCGCTCCCAGGCGCCTGCTCCGGGGACGGAGAGTTCACGTGTGCGCTTCGCTCCGCCGCGCACCGCTGCGCCCTGCCCTCCGCTGGACCGGAGCTTTCGCGCAGGTCTAAAGGGAAGACGGCTGGCATGCTCTCGGAAACTAATTCACAGGAGAGCACCCATTTTGAAAGAGAGAGAGAGAGAGAGAGAGAAAACTTGACGTTGCTTTTCCATGATCTCCTTGTAAGTGCACCTTACCGTCCGAGGCTGAGCGCCACGGATCCTTTCACGGTGCACTTTGTGCTCAGGATCATGGCTGGCTGGCTGTGTGTCACTTGGCGTCAGGAGGGCTTGCGCCGGCGTGAGCCTCTGGGCAGGACACTGAGAAGCCTCCTTGCTCAGTCAAGTTTGCACGTTGTTTCTCAAAGGACAGAGCTGCACTGTCCAGATGGGAGCAACCAGCCACAAGTGGCAGCCTGCGCGGGTGGAAAGAAACTCACGTCCTCAGTTTACTGGCCGCTCTCAGGAGCGTAGCAGACACTTGGGGCTGTTGGCCGTGGTATCGACCAGGTATTGACAGACGCAGGGCACGACTGGAATCTCGGCCGTCTGTGCGGCCGCGCTGCGGAACAGGTGACGCACAGGTAAAGGATACCCATCACCTGATTGCTGCACAGCTGTCTCAGCGGGTGAAGCGCTAGGTGGAGGCTTTTCAGGAATCTCTACCAGTGTCATGGTGCTTTGTCTCCATGAGTCAGGGTTCAGGTGAGCATTGATTTTGTTTCTAGGCCTACACTTCTGAAAAACTTCTTTGTGATGTAGGAAATCGTGTGCCTTAGAAAGTTGGCAAACTTTCAGAACATCCTTTTTATTCATCGTCTAATGTAAACCAGTAGGATCGTGTTTTCAGGCGGACATAAAATCCAGTTGCTCATTTGCATTTGTGTGATTAGGAATAATAATGGTGATGTTACTCCAGTTCCATGTATAATATCCATTAACAGTGATAACGTCGATCTTTAAAATGTCACCTATAACCCTGAGGGTCCTTGGACCAGCTGGTAAAGGACGGTGTCTCCGCGGAGGAAAAAGAATGCAGAGGTGAAGTTCACCTCCAAATTACTACGTAATTGGTCCATCCCATCTCTCTTTGGAAGACTGAGAAATAAGTTTGGTTTTGGCTAACTTGAAGGGAATAGCTGCTTTAGAAGGCATATGTTGGTATTTTATTAGCTTTTAGAGTGATGGTAAGAATGAAACAGAATGCAAATACTCTTAACCTTTCCCGTCTACAGGAAAAGCAGTTCAGCTAGATGAGTTATTTTATTTGGAGGAAAGGAGAAGATCTGGATAAGTACACACAATTTTAAAGCTCTGGTAGGTATGTGATGTAGCTTCAGCTCAAAAAACTTACATGTCTCTGAAGGAAGTACAGCATCTACTTCTCTAGATCTGTTTCCAAATTTTCCTTGTGTTTTGTTTTCTTTTAGCTTTGCAAAATAGAGCCCAATACATAGAACCCGCAGATGAGAGAGGTTATTTCTCTTTGTGTACTTGACGGTCAGGAGGGCTCTGGGTGGCTTAAATGTAAAGTTAGTAATGCAGAGGTGCTCTGCTGTCTAGTCAGTAATCTGAATAGGAAAGCGTTCCCTCATTGTGAGCCAACATCTAATTATGGGGGTAAGAGGTTATTACTGTTCTACTATCTGTAGAACGGTGCGAGTAGATGAGGATAACTTTCTTACATTCTTCTTTCAATTGCCAGAGGGCACGTGTGTCCCTGGAGAGAGAGAGAGAGCGCGCCCTCCTACGAGTGCATGCATGCTGCCTTTCCACCCCTTCCGTTTCTCCTTCCTGCTGGGGTGGGGATTTGGACCGGGATCCGCCGTTCTGGTTCCTATACACAGTTTAACAGCTGAGCTATGGGACTGGCCCTGAAAATATCTTTAAATTGTACATAAAATAAAAATAATGTGTTTTCTGTTTGTAAGAGTCAGATGCATGAGGTTTTTCCCCCTGAGTTATTTCACTTTAGTTTACACAGCATAAATTTGTAGCAGTCGCAGTTTTTTTTCCAACAGGTGTCACTGTTATGATTTTTATCTCTGCATTTAGTTTTTTCAGCAGTACACCCCAATAAAGGTAGAAGGCCTTTGCTTCGATTGGGGATCGTGAACTTGCAACTGGGAGGGTCTTAGTGGCAACTGACACTTGGCTTCAGCGTGTGGAAGACGAATGAAGGGTGGGGACAGGCGAGAGGAGCAGGTGGTTAGCCGCTGCCTAGCTGGATCACTGTGGCTGGGCAGGTGTGCCTAACACTTAGGAAGGCAGACATTCACACAGTCGTGCCAAGTCTTCACTTGTAAATGTTGGCAAGTTGGTAATACCATTAACAACCATTCATGCTGCCCTTTAAAAGGGGGCTAGTAAGGAACTAGTTAGCGACCACTAGTTTAGACCAGTTCTGGAAAATAAATTACAAATCGAGTTGTAATAAAAATAGTTGTGTTTGAGATAAAATAGCTAAAGTCGTTATAACCTTTAAAAAAATTGAGATAAAAAATACATAGGACATGACCAGCAGGTGGCATGACGGCTGAGGCTCTGGATTCCCAGCCATACTGTGGTTCAAGTCCTTGGGCCTGGTGGTTTGAAAATCACAACAAATAAATAGGTAAATAAATTAATACATGTTTTTCAAAAAGTATATACCACAGAATTCACAGCCGTATCGTAAAGAACTCAGTGTTTATTAGTATGTTCACAGACCTGTGCAACCATTGTCTTTGTCACACTCCAGAGCAGTTGCACCACTCCAGAAAGATGCCCTGTACCCATTAGCAGTCATCTGCATGTTCCCTGCCCTTGCCCACCCCTAATCTGCTTCCTGTCTCTGCGTTGGCCTACTCTGTATGCTACTCTGTATGGACTTGTACAGCATGTGGCTTCTTATGTCTGGTTTCATTTGCTTAGCATGTCCAAGGCTCACCCATGTTACAGCATGACCCTGTTGGCCCTAAAGCGTTACATCATGTTTGAGAGTTCCTGAGAAACGTTCTTACCCTTCAGCCCGTTCACAGCCTCTTACGATGTGGGCATGACAATCCGGGATAGGATTTATTACGTTTCTGTTTTATAACTGGAGTTGGCCTTCGCTTGCAGCAGTACTAGGTAATGGGTGATTCTCTGTAGGAGCCGTCTTTGTACACTCTCTGGGCAGTCGCCATTAGGAGAGGATCCGGGACCCGTCTTGAGGTGAGGTTGGCATCTGTTCTTCTGTTGGGTGGCTGAGCTTACAGCTACTCTTGGATAGTTGGTGATTCTCACTCAATCAGATACCCATTACAAGTGAAGCATTGTTTGACCTTCAGTAAAGATAAGGGGAAAAAGGAGATTCCTGAGAAATCTTATAACTGGGGATACAGCAATATGGACTGCGTCAAGCATACATGTGATCAAGTGTTCAGGTACTCATATGGAGTTTCCCGGCTCCGTGTTGGAGACCGCGGGGGCATAAGGGTGAAGTGTAGCTACTGGCTCTGCCCGGGAGGACCACCTGAGTGAGCAGAGAGGACAGATGTCAGGGCAGGGCATGTGCGTACTCACCATAAGAAGGTGTGTAGGGGTTGGAGGGAAA